CCTGCGACCCAACTGAGGAAGAAGTGTTGCCAGTGTGAATGTGTGTGTGAATGTGTGTGTGAATGTGTGTGTGAATGGGTGAATGACTGATTGTGTTGTAAAGCACCTTGGGGGGTTCCAGGACTCTAGAAGGTGCTGTATCAAATACAGGCCGTTTAGTATCTGTGTGCATCCATATTGTCGAGTGTATGTGCGGCGTTGAACCCTCCCACACTTCCTGTGCACGTCGCCACGGGTTCTGCCACACGTCTGAAAGCGTTTGAATGTTTTATTTCTCATACCTGCCACGTTTGCAGGTTGGGTGAACACATCTTCCTGCGTGCTGCGAGTGCGGTTGTCTTCCTGTGTGAAGTGGTGATATCGAGCTGCATCCGCCAGCGTGGTGGGAGTGAGCAGCACGTCGACACCAGAGCTGAACACGCGCCTGAAGTCGTCTGCGATCAGTCGGCGGACTTGCTGGGCCTTCACAAAGTAGTGCTGGTAGTTCCTGCAGGGAGATGCTAACTGTTTGTTCTGTGGAGCTAGCACACCGACGTCAGGTCTGAAAGCACCAGAATGGACACGTTGGTGCTGTTGATGCTTACTGTTTAAGCAGGAAGTAGTTGCCAGATAGGATCCTCCCTCTAACGACGTCGTTAAAGCCCTCGTGACGGGTCGACGTGTACATGACCTCGGTCGAGCTGTTCATCTCGCTTCGGTGTCCTGGTAGAAAACAAACCAACCGCACCGATCAGCTGGCACAAACCCGCGTGAACCAGGGGAAAGAAGTTGCACGTTTGGGTCAGTACCGTATTCTAGCCCATCAAAGCGAGCCATGTTGGACGCCACCTCGGCGCAGCACAGGACGTGGTAGCACACAATGGAGTATGGGGTGTGTGGGAGGGAAACCTGCTTCACTCGAGCTCCGGCGCTCTCAAACAAATCTGCAACACGGCTCCACTGTGCAAGAATGTCCTGAGACAGGCCGGGGGCGTGGTACTCCTGCAAAGCATCCGAAAACAAACGCCTCGTGTAGGAAAACAGTTTAAACTTCACCGTGCAGACACACATTTGGGGCGGCATCGCTCTCTTCACTCCTTTAAAGCACAGGTTAGTGTGACTGACGACATCAACGGGAAACAAGTTTTACTCCTGCACACCCGTTTCAGAAAACCCCAAGGAAGGAACCGGCCTCTGGTGAGCCGCGTCACGACTGAAAGGTTAAAGGCCTGCATGTATACAAACACCCACACACACACACACACCAGCCAGGGCTAACTGAGGGAAGAGGGGTGTGTCCTGCCCAGCTGCGTCAGGCGGAGCGGGGCACGAGGGTTAACCCTAACCCTTTAGGAAGCTTCATATGCGATACTGAATTAGCCATTTCTGCTAATTCATCATATTAGCAGAAATGTTGGACTTAAACAGGAAGCGGAGTTCCTCGAACTCCATCAGTTGGTGTTCTGAGATCCCAGATGCTCTTCGTTCACGTCTTCCCTGGCCAGAGTGGATTTGGCACCAAAGGTAGGACAGAATCACTCAGGCGGTCGTAGTTCTACGGCCTAACGGTGTGAAAAACCACCACACAAGAGACTCTGGGGGAAGGCGGAACATTAACCCACCTTAGGGATGCCGACGCAGATGTTCCTGACATCAAAGTCTTCGGGAAGCTCTTGTGGAGATGAAGGGGATGGAACTGTGGTTGAGTCTTTAACATCAAAGCCTTGGAGGATACCTGTTGGAGTCATCCACACAGGCTCAGGTCACCTGGGAACCCAGCTTTGCCATCACCACCACCGCAGGTGGATTTGTTTTAACTGGTTCTTGTTCAAATTAATCATAGATATCCTGTTTGTTGAAGATTGTGAATCTCTACACAAATATAAAACTATTTCTAGACTTAAACTCGGTTTTTTAACATCATCAAATGTTTCCCACCTAAGACGATGGCTGCATCAGCAGCACTGCGTGTGATGATTCCAGGGACATCCATGGAATTGACCAGTGGGATGAGACCATGTCGTGACAGAAGTCCGTAAGTGGGCTTCAGGGCGACGACCCCACACAACGCCCCAGGGTTACGGGTTGAACCGCCTGTGTCTGAACCCAAAGCCCTGCCAGGTAATAACCACATCACATGTAAAGATCTAGTTTGAACTTCTCTGATTGTGTTTTCATCATTCCTCACAGGTAGCTGGTGAGAGAGGCCACAGCTGCTGCACTTCCACCTGAACTTCCCCCGGAGATGACCCAGTCAGAGTCTGGCGATGCCCCTGACTGTGTTAGGTAGGAGGTGGCGTAGCTCCACGGGTTTCTGACTGGACCAAAAATCCCATCAGTACTGCCCGACCTGACAGAAAAATCAAAACAATCACAGATCAATGTTTACACCAAGTTACAGACGCTAGCTTGTGCACAAGCTTGAATGTGACGTCATTCATACCCCATTGCAAACTCGTCCATGTTGGTCTTCCCCATCAGAACAGCCCCCTGGTCAAGCAGCTTCTGCACAACTGTCGCGTTGTATGGTGGAGTGTAATCTGTGGAGAGTTTCTCAGTCGGATTTTACTGTCGCACCGGTTTTATTACTGACGTAACCCTTGAACTCAGACCTTTAAGCATCCTAGAGCCACATGTGGTCTTGATGTTCCGAGTGCTAAAGTTGTCCTTGACTGCAAAGGGGATGCCATCCAAAGGACCGATCGGGACACCTGAAGACAGGTAAGTGAAAACATTAACACGCATGACTCCACACAAGAAAGATTCAGACTAACGGGGTCCTAACCTTGACGCAGCCTGATTTCAGACTGCTCAGCCTGCTTCAGAGACAGCTCCTCTGTGACAGCGATGTAAGCGTTTAGATGCTGGGTCTTCTTGATGCGATTCAGACACTTCCTGCAGAGCTCTGTCGGGGAGATCCTTCCCTCCCTGAGTGCCAGAGACACCTAGACAATGAGAGAGAAAGCTTTTAATATTCTAATAAATATTTATTCTCAAGTGTGTGTGTGTGTATATGACAATTATAGAGCCGACAATAAATGAATGAAACCACACTTTTTTACTATTTATATATTGAGTTTTAACATTTATTAACTGTTTTTATTTACCTAATATTTAATAGGCTACAAACAGTTTTAAGCTGAGTCAGTGACAGCGAGAAGAAAAGTGAACAAATTTCCTTTATTTTGGCGCATTTTATTACAGACTTAAATAAAAGATCAAACAGAAACAAGTCGGTCGCACTAACCCCCTTCAAAGTCAGGCCGAGCATGCTTTCCTTTTCCAGCCTCCCTCCGAAAGAAAAACAAGCTTAGCACCGTGAGCTACAGCAGAGAGCCGCGACATTTGCTCCGCTTGACGGGACTCCAACATCCCTCTTTGTGATTGGTCAGACCTGAAGAAGCAGCGCTCTGATTGGTGGAGGCGTTCACCAAAACACGGGTCCAGGAAACACGCTTCCGAAGGAAAGGACGTTGTAATGAAATGGTTCAGAACATTTCATATTCGTTCGTAGATATTTTCATCTAAGTCCAAACACGTTTTATTAGAAAGTAGAGGTAGATCTAAAGGGATTTTAAACGTCGGTTTATCGTAATTTAGCTGGAATCTGACAGAAAGCATTGCTGTGCATCTGAACATTAGTTATTTTTATCTAGGTTTCTGGCTCTAGGAAGAGTTTAAAGATGAGCTCTGTTGGACGTGTAGTGCATAAAAGGCTACTGCTTCCCCTCAGTAAGTCTTTATGCGGGCATGCAGTCGTTTGTAGGCAGAGCAGGTCGATCAGCTCCTCCAGCAGATGCATGTCCATCATGCCTGCGTGGGTTATTGACAGATATGGAAGCAATGACGTGTTACGATACACTAAAAACGCAAGTTTCCCCGTCATAAACTACCCCAATGAGGTCATTGTGAAGGCGTTTGCAGCTGGACTGAATCCAATCGATGTCAGCATGAGAGGTGAGTTGAAATCATCCTTCAAGGTGTGACAACAGGGGCGTGTCCAGAGGGGGGCACCTCAGGTGCCACCTTAAAAACTGAGAGTAAAACATTTAGAACATATGTCAAGGTCAATGTCAAGTTTATTAATATAGCACATTTCCAACAATCAGAGACTGCACAAAGTGCTGTAAACAGACAAGCAGTTTAAATAAAATGATAAAACACTGAGAGCCATCCAGTAGACCCTAAAATTAATTAACGATAAAATCAGTTAAAAGCAAGGGTAAAAAGGTAGGTTTTTAAAATAGACTTAAAAGCATAAAGGCTGATAGCAGACCTAATCTGTGGGGGAAGGCTGTTCCAGAGCTTGGGCGCGGCCACAGAAAAAGCTCTGTCGCCTCTTGACTTCAGCCTAGACTGGGGAACAGGTATTAGATGTAGAGCGGATGATCGGGGGTTTCGTTTGGGGACATGAGTGTTTAAAAGTTCCGACAGATAAGGAGGGGCCAAATTGTGTTGTGCCTTAAAACATATCAGTTGCATTTTAAATTAACTCCTGTAAGTGATTGGGAGCCAGTGAAGAGCTTGTAAGACCGGTGTTATGTGCACCTCCTACCTGTCAGCAAGCAAGCTGCCGCATTCTGAGCCACCTGCAAGCGGTGAATTGACGACTGCTCCAGTCCATGATAAAGAGAGTTGCAGTAGTCGAGTCTCGACATGATTAGCAGGTGTATAACCTTTTCAGAGTCTTTGAGTGGTAAATAGGGCTTGACTTTACTAAGAACACGCAAATGACAGAACACACTCTGGACCACAGAACTTATCTGTTTATCAAGTTTAAAATGGCCATCAATGAAAAACCCCAGATTTCTTCCCTGAGACACGCAAAATGATTCTAAAGGGTCAAATACACTGTTTACCCCGTGCAACAGCCCAAGGTCCCCAAAAACGACAATTTCCGTCTTCTTGTCATTTAAAGTGAGAAGATTCAATTGTGGCCAGTTTTTAAACATCTTTTAGTCAATTCAGTAATTTATCAAACGATGGCCTTCGAGAATGTAGTGGGACATTTATCTGCACACCGTCCGCAAAGAAGTGACACGAGATGCCATGCTTATGAAAGATGGCGCCAAGAGGCAACATATACAGCGAGAACAAGAGCGGGCCCAAAACTGAGCCTTGAGGGACACCACAACTAAGTTTCGCTGGAGACGAACAACACTGCCCCATATAAAGAATAAATACACACAATCTAAAACATGTAAACATAAAAGTAAGATGACATTTGTAAGTTTACTTTTTAGTATTTTCAGTAATAAACAGAACTTGGTCTGCTCCAACACATTTCTGAAGTTTAGATTATGGGACTATTGGGTTCAAACAAAACTAAACTCTAGGCCAGGAAGTTCATTTCTTGTTGTTGTGTTGTCATTGACATTATTTAGGTTTTAAAACTCACCTGTTTATGTTGTCAGTTGAAACATTTTAAATAACTACAGTTTAACAAAAAGTTAAAATGCACTAAAATGCCTGGAAACAAAATCTACTTCATCCAAAGTGCTCCCTCCTCTATTTTCTAAAAGAATCCCGACTTTGCAATGTCAGAGAAAGTCCCAATTTTATTATGATAAATGTCATAGATTAATAAAAGTGCACCATCGGTGTATTGTAGCCAATTAGAATATGAGTAATGTTTGTATTTTTGTAAAAAAGAATTTAAATTTGTTTTCAAAGTTATGAGCCGTTTACATGCACCCTTGTCCAAATTTGTGCCCGTACCTGGCCACCTCCCAAAAACCCTCTAGACACGCCACTGCTGGGCTCTGATAGATACGGTTACTGTTACTCCTACACCGCCGGTGTTGTGATTTCAAATGATGTGGTGAGATGGTGTGGGGTTGATGGAAACGAGAATTTGAATGTTTTTTTTTGTTTTCTGAATGGAAGTGTGGAGGGTTTAATAGTGGCTGCTGTGAATATTACTCATTTGGTCTTTGAAATTCCTCGTAGCACAAGGAAGGTCTCCAGAAAATAAATAAATCTGTAAAAGTTAGCAAATGTGACTGGAAGACAATTACGACACCCCCACCCAGTTTATAATATAAGGTAAAGAAAACATGTAAATACCATCTTTTATCCTTTTTCTTGTTTTAATTTTTTATCCATCTTTATCTAAAGATCTGTCATTCATTCATGAACAAAACTGTAATCAGGTACCTGACTGGACACACACAAAATTATTTTCTACACAAGAAGAAGAAGAAAATATCATTTCTATAGCGCCTCTCAAGATAAAAATCACGAGGCGCTTCACAAAAACAAAAAATGTAAAAATATAAAAAAGCATTTAGAAAACGTTTAAAAATATATTTAAAATGAGCAAAAACAGACAATTGTGATTAAAAATGTTAAGAAAGAGAGAGAGTGAAGAGGAAAGAGGGAAATCAGTGGATCCTGAGGAAGGTGGAATAGGTGGGGAGAGCAGAATAAAGAGAGAGAGGTGAAGAAGGTCATACAAAAGCCAGCTTGAACAAGTGAGTCTTCAGCTGCTTTTTAAAGGAGACCACTGAGTCCACTGATCTCAGGCTCAGGGGGAGAGAGGTCCAGAGTCTGGGGGCCACAGCAGCAGATGATCTGTCACCTTTGACCTTTGGCCTGGTGCTGCACAACCAGTAGGCTTTGGTCACTGGACCTCAGGGACCTGCTGGGGGTGTAGGGACTAAGAAGATCACCAATGTAAGATGGTGCTTGTCCATGTAAGGCCCTATAGACCAGAACCAGGATCTTGAAATGAACCCTGAAGTTGACTGGCAGCCAGTGAAGCTGGAGGAGAAGCGGGGTGATGTGGGTGTGTTTGGAGGACTTGGTCAGAAGCCGAGCACAGGCGTTCTGAACCACCTGTAGACGGTTCAGGGAGGTTCTGCTCAGACACGTGAAAAGAGAGTTACAGTAGTCTAAGCATGAGGAGATGAAGGTGTGGAGAACTGTCTCAAGTTCAGAGCGGGACAGAATGGGACTCAGCTTAGCAACGTTCCTGAGATGGAAGAAGGAAGAGCGAACAAGAGAACTGACATGAGAATCCAGGGTGAGAGCTGGGTCAAAGGTCAAATCAATCAAATCAAATCAAAGCTTTATTTATAAAGCGCCTTCCGCAACCCTGTCAGGAAGCCCAAGGCGCTGAACACTGAACAGTACAAAGTTAAATAAAGTGAATAAATCAGAAAATAAAAGCAATTCAAATTACAGATTACAAATTACAATAAAGGTGAAACATTCTAGTAGAAGACAAATGTGTAAAACAAGGGAAAATTTGAACCAATGAAAACTGTGAGATAAAATCAACATTAAAGAGGGCCAAATTCAAACATGTTCAGGAAACGCCAAGCGGAGGAGGTGTGTTTTTAGGCGGCTCTTGAAGACTGGCAGAGATGGGGACAGCCTATCTGAGGGTGGCAACTTGTTCCGTAGTGATGGTGCTAGGACTGAGAAAGCCCGGTCCCTGTGAGTACGACACCTAGAATGAGGGACAACGAGCAGGCCTTGGTCAGAGGAGCGCAGAGCGCGTGATGGGGAATGTCTGTTCAGGAGCGTGGCCAGATGGGGGGAGCACCACCCCATCACGCCAAGATTCCTGACAAAAGGTTTGGTGTGAGAAGCAAGCTGACCAAGAGAGTCTCTGACTTTGGGAACCAGCTTGTCTGGGGCACAGATGAGGATCTCAGTCTTATCTTCATTCAGCTGAAGAAAGCTCCCACCATCCAGGTTTTGATAGAGTCTAAGCAGGTGTGGAACAGCTGCAACTTAGACATCTCATGGGGCTTAAAGGAGATGCACAGTTGGATGTCATCTGCATAACGATGGTAGGAGATTCCTTTGAAGGAGCTCAGGATGTACTGAAGAGGAAGCAAATAGAGGAGGAGGAGTAGAGGCCCCAGCACAGAACCTTGTGGGACACCAGAGAATAAAAGTATGCTTCATCCTTTAATTTGACACAAGTTGATTGCAAATCTTGAAGTGCATTTTTGTAGTGTGGACAAACACTTATCGTCCCAGAGTGTGTTTTCTACAGTGTAAACAGAACCACCCCCCCTCCCTCAGGTGGCTATGGCGCCAACACGCTGTCTATGAAGAGGGACCCTCTGAACATCAAGCTGTCGGGCAGCGAGTTTCCTCTAATTCTGGGAAGAGACGTGTCGGGAGTCATCATGGAGTGTGGCCCGGATGTCAAGTACTTCAAAGAGGGAGATGAGGTCAATAAAGCAATTATTTTAACAGTCAATCAGGTCGTTTTCTACTTGTTCCCACCATGCATTTGTTGTGCACCACGCTCAGCACTGAAACAGCAACTCATTGGGCGATCACCGTAAACAAACGACTGATGAAGTTGTGTCTCCTGCAGGTGTGGGCTGCGATCCCGCCCTGGAAACAGGGCAGCTTGGCAGAGTTTGTGGTGCTAAGTGGCAACGAGGTACAGTGGTTTTATGTTTTGTTTGTTGGTAAATGTCTCGGTTAAGTCCTATAATGTCTTGAGGTTGGCTTCAGAAGATTTCTGCCAGCATGAGTAAATGACCTATACAGCCAACGTATTATTGTCCAGTTTTTAGTGATGATCAGACGTGTTAAAATGTGTGTGTGGATCTCAGATTTCCCTCAAACCAAAGTCACTGAGTCACGTAGAGGCAGCTGCCATTCCTTATGTAGCAACCACTTCCTGGTCGGCGCTGGTTAACACCGGAGGACTTAACAAAGACAACTGTGCCAGTAAAAGGTGAGGAAAAGTAGATGCATGTATGTTATTATTTACATCTCGTTTACCTGCCTCAGAGAAGCTCGAAGTCTTTGATCTACTGATTGAATTTGGGCCCCTGAGAGACTCCCTGATAAATCACTGATGGGTCGTCTTTTTACGTAAAAGTGACCACCTGTCACCATTTAAAGGGGCTCTAGAATAAAGTTTTTACAGTCGGAAACTATTTTTTTTAACCTCCATAGAGCATTTGAGACGTTGTTGGGGCTAAAAACGGCCCAGGAGCCTTGGTAAGTGGCTGAACACAACTCCATAAAAAATATAATGAAAAGACGGGTAAACCCCACCCACTCATGCGTGTTGGGTGGCCAGTTTATTTCCATAGCTTTATGATGCTGCCTGAAGCTAGTAACACTGCACAGTACAGTGTCCGGATAACTCAGGAAGGCTATCTGACATTTAACCGTACGCGTTTGTATCAGAACGTTAGCGGTAGCTTGGGCTAACATTGATTTGTGGTTAGCAACCCCTCCATTGAAGTGGCTTGGGACATACAAACCTGGGGGGGTATACGCCAGCTTTTCTTAACCCAAAGTTAAAGGTAAATGTGGTTTTGAATTCCAGAACCCCTTTAACACATTCACTGCCATTGACGACAAAAGTCTTCGTTTTAAATCCAACCGCTCGCCGCATTTTTCATGAGGAGGGCGTCGAAAGGAGCCCCCGCATCTTCATCCGCGTATGTCACACGTCACCTGATCAGGAAGCAGGAAATCCATGAATTAGGAGATCGTTTTGCGACGCGAGTCAGAAACGGGTAGAATGCCTTCTCCAGGTCAGGGACGAGGTCCTGCTCCAAGTGGAGGGGTTTAAGTATCGACAGGCGGATTGGTGCTGCGTCTGCAGCGATGCGGGCGTTGTACCGATCTGTCTTGGTGAAGAGAGAGCTGAGCTGGACGCTAAAGCTCACGGTTTACCGGTTGTAATTAGATTACGTGTTATTTAATAAGCCATAAGGCGTGGGATTCCATAGGAAATGTGAAATCCACCTTACGGATCTGTGAGGTTATTTAAACCAGAAGATTGGAACTTTTTAATGCAGGGATTAGATAACCGCTTCGTATTCACTCAGAGACAACAGAAGAGAGAGAGTCAAGTTTAAAAGTTAACAAATTCAACTAGACTGACTTTAAAACTAAATGTATGGTGTAACTAAGTGAATGGGATGACGTGTGATGTTGATCAGAACCAGCAAATCCGAAGAAGCGATTAGTTCTGACGGGAACTGAAGGTGTTGTCTTCGCGTTAAGCTTTGGTTAGGAGATTCATAAACACATGAGACAACATTTGCCGGTCTACCTACCCTCCAGGAAGTCCCTTTTAGGTCAGGAATATCGAGGGCCAGCTCGACCCTCTCTGGAACCGAGCCGGTAGGAAAAGCAGCGGTTCCGATCAGTCCAGTCTGTGAGTTACTTCCGGGTACACAACAGTTTGTTGGCGTCTGGTGAGACCCAAGCCTGAGTCTTGATGGTTCAGCTTTTATTCTGAAAGGAACTGTTGTCGCTGTTGGAATAGCAACACATTTTTCAGCTTGTCGTTGTTCTTTCGGTTAAAGAGTTTAGATCAGGATTGGCCACTCCGTCACTTTCTCTGGAAGGCTTTGAACTGGCGTTAGAGCTGACGTGGCGTAGTTTTATACCTCGGATGTTTTGGTTTATTGTCGAATGAAAAATTACCAAACACCATCAAAACCACGCCTCCGTCAGATCTGTCAGATTCTGATTGGATCAGTGAAAGCAATGTGTGATGTCTTTTAACGCTACGTGAGATCAGTCCTGTTGGAACACTTAAAGTCACATTACCTATCATATTCTATAGGATCATAATACGGTAATTAATATTTTGATTTCACAGATCGGTCACATCTTATTTATTGACTAACACTTTGATGGATTAGCTTTATTAAAATAGAGTTCTTTGATTATTTAAAAGAAAAGAGTCCATTCTTCATTCTTCTGTTGAGCTGAAAATAAGCAGTTAGAAGGAATGCAGGAGACCTTGAGACCATATCTCATGCAGACTAGTCCTGTGCAGAGGAGGGAACAAACAGTCATTGCATCACGTTACACGGTCGATCTACGTCATCATCTCTCTCAATAACATAAATATTCGTACGCCTCTTTTCCTCTTATGTGCAGGATTCTGATCCTTGGAGGATCCGGGGGGGTCGGGACATTTGCAACACAGGTATGCACGAGAGTGTGAATTATATAAACGTTTTTAAACTTCATTATGGTTTTTTTTATTTAAAATGTAGGTGCATGAGACTATGAATGAGTGAATGTGTCGTTTGTTAGTGGATGATTGTAAGGACAGCAGGAAAACCTCACATAAAAAATGCTAATTTTCTTACCATTGTGACCCAAATTTACACTAAATCTGTTTTGGGGGTTTTAGACAGAGTAATGCTTGTTTTGTTGACTGATGTGAAGAAGAAGAAGAAAATATCATTTCTATAGCGCCTCTCAAGATAAAAATCACGAGGCAGCCTGTTATTGTAATAAAACACTTTATTTTTTCTCCAACAACAAAGTCAAGTTGCCCCACTGTAGCACAGATGGACGCTCTTTTTCTGAGGATTATAATTGTGCTCAGATGCTGAAGGCGTGGGGCGCTCACGTAACTGTTACCTGCTCCCACAACGCCGAGCGGTTTGTAGGAGAACTCGGGGTGGACCATGTGGTGGACTACACCGCTGGACCAGTTGAGGAGGCTCTCAGCGCTCTGGAGAAGTAATAAGAAGTAATCTCATTAATCTCCTACATCTATCTAATCAGGGTCTACCAAGGCTGCCTGTTGGTTCTGTCTCGTGTCTCCTAAAGGTTTGACCTGGTCCTGGATAACGTTGGTGGGGACACAGAGAGGTGGGCGCTCGGGCTGCTTAAACCTTGGAGTGGAGCCAAATATGTCACCCTTGTAACGCCTTTTCTGCAGAACACCGACCGGCTGGGTATAGCTGACGGCATGATGCAAACGGCTGCTACAGTCGCCACCAAAACCATCAAGGTACTCCTGGTGAAAAGACACCAAATCCCACCAAACCAACACACTCAAACCAACACGAGGGGACGGTTTTGTCCGCGTTGCAGAGATGTTATGTTTTCTTAAATGAGCCGAGGGTGCGAGACCATGATCGTGTGTTTCTGTTCCAACAAACCACAAAATGTTGCAGAATTTTCAAAAACCACCAAATCTACATGCAGTTAAATGTGAAGAGTTGATTAGCAGAAACGGGTAAAAGCCCTCATTGATCAAAGTCAACCCTAACTACGACTAATATTACATCCTGTAAATAATAAGATAGTGTGGGAAGGAGGGATGGGAATCTCAGAGCAACTCACCATTTGATTCGATTCCGATTCTCGATTTGAATCGATTCACAATCAGTATTAACAAAGAGTGTCAGCTCCAGGATGAACTACTGTGTTGTACACGTTAGTTAAAGCTATGGGACGTTTTTATTTGACTTTAAACTGGTCGTGCTCCAAAAAAGCTGATTTACAATGTAAAATAAAGTGATTCTAAAACTGTAAACAGAAACAATCTTCTGACCAAAAGGCAACATTTATTTTTGTTTACCTTGTAAAATATAACAAACCTGTAGTTACCTAACAGTAGCTCTGAAAGTAATACGGTCAAATACTTTTCAAGTATGTGTAGAAACAAGTTTAACATTTGAGTCCTCAGCCTGTTTAAAAAAGTGCCTCAGATTTCTTACAAAGGAAAATGTTTTCTCTCATTTATCAATAACTTCAAATAAATACCTGAGTAATCCTGAGTAGTAATCCTGAGTGAGTACTCGCTTATCAATAACTTAATATTAGTACACGAGTAATCCTGAGTACTCGCTTATCAATAACTTAATATTAGTACACGAGTAATCCTGAGTACTCGCTTATCAATAACTTAATATTAGTACACGAGTAATCCTGAGTACTCGCTTATCAATAACTTAATATTAGTACACGAGTAATCCTGAGTACTCGCTTATCAATAACTTAATATTAGTACACGAGTAATCCTGAGTACTCGCTTATCAATAACTTAATATTAGTACACGAGTAATCCTGAGTACTCGCTTACCAATAACTTAATATTAGTACACGAGTAATCCTGAGTACTCGCTTACCAATAACTTAATATTAGTACACGAGTAATCCTGAGTACTCGCTTACCAATAACTTAATATTAGTACACGAGTAATCCTGAGTACTCGCTTACCAATAACTTAATATTAGTACACGAGTAATCCTGAGTACTCGCTTACCAATAACTTAATATTAGTACACGAGTAATCCTGAGTACTCGCTTACCAATAACTTAATATTAGTACACGAGTAATCCTGAGTACTCGCTTACCAATAACTTAATATTAGTACACGAGTAATCCTGAGTACTCGCTTACCAATAACTTAATATTAGTACACGAGTAATCCTGAGTACTCGCTTACCAATAACTTAATATTAGTACAGGAGTAATCCTGAGTACTCGCTTACCAATAACTTAATATTAGTACACCAGTAATCCTGAGTGCTCATTTATCAATAACTTAATATTAGTACACCAGTAATCCTGAGTGCTCACTTATCAATAACTTAATATTAGTACACAAGTAATCCTGAGTGCTCACTTATCAATAACTTAATATTAGTACACGAGTAATCTGAGTGCTCACTTATCAGTAACTTAATATCAGTACATGAGTAATCCTGAGTACTCACTTATCAGTAACTTAATATTAGTACACGAGTAATCTGAGTGCTCACTTATCAGTAACTTAATATCAGTACATGAGTAATCCTGAGTACTCACTTACCAATAACTTAATATTAGTACAGGAGTAATCCTGAGTACTCGCTTACCAATAACTTAATATTAGTACACGAGTAATCCTGAGTACTCGCTTACCAATAACTTAATATTAGTACACGAGTAATCTGAGTGCTCACTTATCAGTAACTTAATATCAGTACATGAGTAATCCTGAGTACTCACTTATCAGTAACTTAATATTAGTACACGAGTAATCTGAGTGCTCACTTATCAGTAACTTAATATCAGTACATGAGTAATCCTGAGTACTCACTTATCAACTTAGAAAATAAATATGAGAATGTCTCAAATTTCTGGGCATGAAAATAATGACATTCAAGTACCCTCTTATCAGCAGATTCAAACATAAATCATCTCAATTTATGGGACCACAAAAGTAATCGGAGTACTGACTCTCCTAACAAAGAGCATCTCAAACCTGTAACGTGCCAAACATTTGAGTTCTTGGGATCGATTCTGAACCTTTATTAATAAGAATCCCGATTCAGACTTGAATCGATTTTTTTCAGCACCTCTAGTGGGAATATTTATAAATGTAGTTTTCTGCAAATGGACTCTTTGTAATGCATGTTCCATTTAGAAATATTTAACCCACGTGTTCATAAATGAGTCATAGTGAAGAAGGAAACCTTTGGTAAAGAAAAATGAGGAAGTGGTTCTGAGAAATGTTCAGTCTTCAAAAGAAAACAAGAACATTTTTAATAAAAGCTCTAAATTTATGGATGAAATCTTCTGTTGTTTACTTTTGAGCACCACAGAGAGAATAAGCAGAGGCTCCAGTTTAGGATGCTGTTGCTCTCCAGACCCCAGCGCACAGAGATGACCTAAACCATCATTCACACGCACACTTCCTGAGCATTTAGACTTCTGCCAGGCTTCCCAGCCTTCGTGGTTTTTGTCTGTGGGACGTTTTCTGCATTTTTGCATTTGTTTTTCTGCACAAACGTAAGTTATGCAAAGAATCACCTGGGGGAAAAACAACATCAGCTGCTGATTCTATAAACTTTCCTCCACCCTGGTTGCTTGCTTCGTCTGTCACGGCACCAGGCGAGCATTAAAACCTGGATCGGGGCACAATTGAAAGTTTATTTGCTTCTGTTTGATGCAAATGTTGGTTTTTCCCTATGACGTAAAAACATTTCCTGGGATGGGAGTCAAATACAGGCAGGCTTTCTTTCAAGCACATTCACAACAAAACGATGGGACGGAGGAGAGGTAAAGTTGTTGCTACTGAAAGTGCAAAGTCACAGCCACATGCATGCATTATAAATGGTAAAAGAAAAAACGTGAAAGGGCCATTTAATGGTAAGGATTGCTAATATCTCAGACAAAACGGTAACTACCCAGACGCTGAGGCTGCAGGCAGAGCCGCGGCCCGAGTTTCTATGACTTTAATGGTCCGGCTCCAGCTCAGAACAAACTGAGATGAAGCCATGAGTGCAGCATCCCTCACCACAGAGGCATTAGAGGGACTTCCTGTCAGCGTGTCCTCTGTGGTGAGCGGTGTGCCGAGCAGAACTTGCACCTCTTGCTCTGTGCATGGGTGACACCAGTGGTTGTGCTTTTTCTTTTTTACCTCAAGCTTTTTGTGGACAAGTCTATTTAAAGGAAATTGGCCAATCAGATTCCAAGGGTGGCATGGAATGGCAGGCCACCCAATGGACACGCCCCTGCTCTTCATAACACCACAAAATCCACCGCACAGATCCTGCAGCCACGAATCGCAGCGTTTTACGTGCACGAACAGCCGGTGTAATCTGCAGACACGTGTTTTATTCTGTATATTAAAAAAAGAGCAGCCAAAACCAGCTCCTCAAAGACAAACTGATGAAAGACGGTGGGAGCAAATTAAACTTGAGCATTAAAACAGAACAGAAAGGTAAATAATAAATGTATACAGCACTCCATGGATGTAATTTTCACTTTAGAAGTGGGGGGGGGGGGGGGGGGGGTTGTTTCTTTACAGAATGCTCTAATGGGAAACAGGCTTCAACACAAACGGTTGTTTTCTGCTTGGTCCTAGAGCTCAACCAGTGTCACTTTAATATAGCGTGATATTGTCTTTGGATGGTAAAAAGTGCAGGGGTCAAAACTTGACTTGGGAAAAAGTGTGGGGGGGGGGGGGGGGGGACATGCCCCCCCGTCCCCCCCCAAAATTATGTCCATGCAGCACTCTAATTTTGGATTTTACTTTGCTAATTGCCCTGTTTTGAAAATGGAAAGTGCAGCCAGAATCCCGGGACAGCCCCCACATAAGGCTCGGAGTTAAACCAAGGGGTTCGCCCCCCGAGGATGACTGAATGGCAAAAAACAACCGTAGGAGTTAACGAGTTTCACTTTACAACAGCGGGGTCACAAAACTCACTTTGGGAACCACTAATGGAAGCACACTTAAAGGTTTTCATCCTGTTTCTGTTGCCATAGTAACAGCTTCCTAGCCTTGCCTTTAAAGCCCCCTCCATCGGTTTGCTTGTCCTCTCTGGTGCTTCTCTTGTAGCGTACGGTCTACTCCCCGTGGAAGGACGTTGTTTGTCAGCAGCACCCACACCGATGTCTCTTATCTGATTTCACAGCTTGTCAGTTTTTCCACATGTTCACAAACACTTTCAGAGTAGATGGTTGGATTTGTCTGTCTGAGGTCAAAAAGAGGAAATGTGTTGCAAAATGATTCTTTCATCATCATCTTCTTCATGGCAGACTGAACTAGCTTAGCTTGTGGTTTCAGAAACGGCAAAATGTAAAACGAATCAATAAGGAGGAACAAATAATCACGACAGGGAGGCAAATATGTTCAAATCCTGAACCTTTCTGTAGACGAAGCATTAAAAAGCTGGTTGAATCTATTTATGTAAAGCTCTTTCTGTGTTTCTGTAGCATCTGGTGAAAGGAGTTCACTACCGCTGGGGGTTCTTCGCACCGAGCGGTCCTGCCCTTGATGAGATAACGGACATGGTGGATGCTGGACAGGTAGGGAACCAGATCCGATTTTTATGTTTTTGCCCTCATGCTAACCCTAACCCAAACTTCACGGACGTCCCTGCGTTGATATGGACTAAAAGTCTGTATTGGGTTTTTAGAACCGACTAGAAACACCCACCTCCTTTAGGGTCAGGTAGCTTCTGGTCCACGAAGCTGGTTGTTTCCAGAAGCTTTTAAAAATCTATTCAGCCTAAATAAATTTGCAGAGAAACTGCACCTCCCAGTTACACAATCTGAATTCTTCAATTTAGAAAAGTGAAACGTTCAAATAGCAGAGTGCTGGGTTTGAAATGTAGCATGAGAGAGGATGGGTGGATGGACAGACTCAAGCTGATGCTTGCATTATTTTTCCTTTTTCCACAACACAAACCTGCAGACCACTGACAATGATTACATTTGAGTTATTTAAAACTGTGCATGTTTCTATAGGGGATCACAGTGTAGGGAGACAGTTTTTGTGCACAGGCCTCAAGGTTCATCTTCCTGCAGATATCTAGTTTCTAAACTATTTCAAACAACAGTTGTTGTTTGTTAACGCTCTTTATTGAACTTCAGTTGATATTTGTTAAACGCTGCTGCAAATGGGAGTTAAAAACAACCCATAATAATAATAATAAACACCAGCTGACAACATTAAGAAAACTCGCGTACATTTGTCACTTCAGATTTGTTCAAGATAGATTAAAGTTCACTGAGAAACCATTTTTCACTTTTTATTTTTGAAATACAATTGGTCACTTTGAGTTTAACATGCAGACGGACTGTGAAAATAGTCTCCTACACCTATCTCCTGCAGTAGCTTCTGATAGAAAACAGACGGTGAAACTCTAGGATAGAAAAGCCTGACAGATCTACGTCACACTGTCACTAAACATTCATGGACTCACCCATCTTGACTCCCGATGGGGAAGGCTGTTGATGATTTAGCATCCAGGAAACAGGAGAGAACGTCTCGGCTAGTAGAAGCTAACCGTTAGCGTTAGCAACTCCACCACACAGCAGAACTCCTCCAGGCTTGTGTTATTTGTGGAGATAAAACATCAACATTGCAGAGCAAACAGTTAGTGGTAGAGTCGTGTTGCTGTTAGCCAATCAGAGGCGAGATGTCCAGGAAGTACGACTCTAAATCCTGCCGTCTGACGCTCAGATGGAAATGGTTGCTAGAAGTAACGTTTATGATTAGAGATTTTACCATGGTACAGAAATGACTCTGGGACCGTTGCACACTTCTAGCTCCTCATGAATCTACCTTCCTGTGTTGCTGTATTTCACAGCAGTTTTAAAAATAAGCGCATGTGAACGTGTGATCGTTACTCAACGTCTGTCCTCTTTCTGCTCTCTTCAGATCCGAGCCGTAGTGGAGGAGGTGTTCAGCTTTTCTCAGGTCTCTCAGGCCTTTGAAAAGGTGGAGAAAGGTCACGCTCGAGGGAAGACGGTCATAGAAATCAGCAAAGGAGGCGATTAATCTGTTCCACACTTAGTACAAATGGCTGACTGGTTACTATAAAGACTTTTATCACGGTGGTTCTGCAAAATACTCCAGATGACCTTTTTCATCCATGTTTGTTCATTGTTAATCAATAAAAAGGGATTAAAAAGATTTAGCAGACACTGGAGTTAGAGGTTGAATATGGAACACAGAACACTGCAGCGACATCTAGTGTTCAGAGGTGGTAGTGCAACAACAGAACACGGTGTTGGTTGACTGCTGATGGGAGGAGTGACCAGCCAGCACCAGCTCCACTGGTGAATCCTGCAGGGTAAGGACTCATTTCTAGTAAAACGTTTATTCAGCTCAGAATCAGCTGCTTGACTTAGAGTCCGCCATTTTTCACAGCCCCGGTCTCGCCTTGCCAAGCCAACTTTTTACCGCAACGGTGCCCCGATTGGCTGGTAGATGTAAACATAAATGCAGTGTTGTGCCCATCAAAAGAAAATGTAGATTTTTATTTTTTTAAATAGCTTTTACAGGAGAAACTGCACATTCATTCTGCACACCTCTAAATGTCATGTGGAGTCATTTTTGAAAAATATCAATTTTTATTAAGACATTCTATATTCCACCTTTAAAGGTGCATTATGTAGGAATGAAGAAAATATCTGGGTGTGTTTATTACATCTAGTTGGGTATTTATTGGTCTTTGAACTAATAGTTTTTTATCTTAAATCTTTGATTAGAAACTATAAACATATGCTGGTAACATTCTGTAACTAAATTAATTTACCTATTAACTCAAAACGCCGTCCATTTCCTGATCAGAAAAGCCCATGGCTGCAAACGTTTTTTTAGTGTTTTTACTGTTTTTTGAAGAGTCACAGAACATTGCGCTCTAGGATGATGTCAATGCCAAAACTACCAAAACAAAGGGTAGACTCACCTCTTACATCAGGAAGAATCTGCGTGTTTCGAGCGTTATCTGTTCTTTCCCCATTCCGTTGTCGAATTGCGAGCAGCAGAAGCTTTTCCGGTTCACTCCTCACTTTTTCACAGCAGCAGCCCGAAACGATCTCCTAACACATGGATTTTCTGCTTCCTGATCATGTGACGTGTGCCGTACGCAGATGAAGATCGGCTTTAGAGCTGAGATGTTTGTTCTCACGGTGCGGGGGCTCGTCTGACGCCGGCTCAGTGAAAAAAACCCGTAAATGACGACTTTTGTCGTCAATGGCAGTAAATGAGTTAATGACATTAATTAAGAGTGAAATCTCTCAAGTCTACAGTGGATGTAATTTCGCCCTGTTGCCGCAAGAGGGCAGATGACCTGTTTGAAGTGCTGTTAGCTAGCTGCTGTTCCTGCTTTAGCTCATTGCTCAACACGAATGGTTTAAAATAGATCTGTTGAGCAGTTGTGACGTAGTTTGTAAAGGTAACGGCGTTCTGGCTTCCTTGTTACTTAGACTTTGCTGTTTACAATAAATAAACCCCGTAGTAATTAACAGTGGTATGTTTTATTTTGAAGGCATCTACAGGAAGTGCTAATGCTAGTCTTGTTTAGATTTATGAACACTGTAGTAACAGCCTTCATCCACTGGAGGGCGGAAGAAATCCTTAATCTTTAAAGCCAGACATTGAGCCATCTTGTTTCTGCCCGGTTGACCTAAATAATACATCCACTTGCTTATAGACAGATTATGTGGCCATCAGTCACATAAAACCAGTAACTACATAGAATTACAGGTCTTTTGGTGCTTGTTCTTTATCTAAATAAACATTTACGACAGTTACTTAGTAGAAACACTTCCTCCAAATCGGCCGGTGCCGGTACAGGATCTGCTCGGGTGCAAGATCGGCTCGGGGTCCGTCGACTGCCGATGACGTCAAAGTAGTTGATGACTGAACATGAACCTTACGGAATTACGTAATCACGTTACGTTGTTATCACGTGACGTTGGTCCAGGCAAATCTTTCTGTTGGAAAGATGGACAATTTTTACAAAGAAATCCATCATTACCTCTTTGAAAATACACTTTTAGCATAGAGCTGCATGTATATTAGGGCTGAACGATTAACTGCATGTGCAATTAAATTCGTTGTGACAAAAGGAGATTTTCTAATCGCAAAGGCTGCAATTTGGCAGCGAGTGGTTAGCGCAATGCTAATATACGTGGAAAAACCCATAGGAATGCTAATGCTAATATCACCGATTACATTGTTACAAATTATGAATTAGAAACATGCCAAATGATTACATTTGGAGTCTAATAGAAAGTAAAACTACCATCAATCAAATAAGTATAGACAGGTATTTTAGTAAAGCCAGAAAACTTTTAACTCCAGAGTTTTGGCTAGCAGCTATGAACGTAACTGAACTACGCATGGACAAGACGTCAAAAACTCTAAACACAAAATACTTCAATAAACGGGACACACTTCTTTCCTGCAAATACAATTTCACAGGTGTTGCTAATACCGATGATCCTTCAAGGGATGTGCTCAAAGAGGAGTTCAACATTATGAATAATATAGTGTTTTATTTTACAAATACCATGATAAACACAAACTTACGTCGTAAGAAGCATTATTTTAATACCGAAACTGCTAAATTCTTTCCAACAGTATAGATGTGTAGTGTATTTTGTCCGAGTGCGTTTGCCGTACTTTGACGTCATCGGCAGTCGAAGGACCCCGAGCCGATCTTGCACCCGAGCAGATCCCGTACCGACACCGGTGATCTCAGACTCAGGGGGAGAGCGTTCCAGAGTCTGGGGGCCACAGCAGCAGATGATCTGTCACCTTTGACCTTTAGCCTGGTGCTGCACAACCAGTAGGCTTTTATCACTGGACCTCAGGGACCTGCTGGGGGTGTAGGGACTAAGAAGATCACCAATGTAAGATGGTGCTTGTCCATGTAAGGCCCTATAGACCAGAACCAGGATCTTGAAATGAACCCTGAAGCTGACTGAGGAATATTGAATGTGAAAGTGGCACTGTTCTTAATTCATGCATCAGAGGGTTAAGTTGCTTTGTGTGTGTGTGTGTGTGTGTATTTTCTCACAGAAGGGGCGGCGGCAAATGGGCACTCTCGCCTTGGGCACCAAATTACCTATTACGATTCTAAATTCTTCCAAACATCGTTTTGTTGCCTTGAAGGAGCGGGGATTTTGTGCCCTCTACTGGCCCAAAACAGAACAGCACTCTCATTCCCAAAAACTCAGAGCTGCTGCCCCCCAGCGTCTGAAAGCTGGTACTACATTTAGAAGAGATTAATTTAGTCCAATCTTAATGAAGCTTTAAAAAACATGAATCTTTTTGTCATCTTGGGAATATTCATACAACAAAGGAGGGGAGGGAGAAGAGGAAACTGGATTCATTGGAAAGCTTATTTGGTAGACTTCCTCTAAATTCTCCCAAACACTGTTGTTGCCTCTAAAGAACGGAGAATTCTCGTATTGCGGATTCTGCAGTCAGACAAACACAAAGAGTGAAATCACTTCTTTATTTTGATGAAACAGTTTATGGTTTCAACTGTTTTCCCTGATATTTACATTCAGCAGAAGAGTTTTGCAGCGCTGTTTTCAGCTAAATCTGTACATCTGAATGAAAACCACAGTTGGTCTTACAACCTATAAAAGTCCTACAAATATATCAAAACTTTACAACAGATCATTTCTGGTCTACTAAAAGCAGAAATACACATTTGCATTGGTAAGAAGTGACGCTGTTTACACATGAATGAGAAAACGGGCAGCAGTGGGATTCTGTGGTAAAAGTACCGTAGTGTAAAGAAAAGTGCAGCACTGAAACAGGGCCGAGCTTTACTGACAGTCTTTGGTGTTGAACAGTCAAAAGGCCAAAAAGGCAACATCTTATGTTATTCGTTTGTCCTAAAAAATGAAAGTTAAATGACATAAAATCACATTCCTACACAAGAACAAGTAGTTGAAATCCACAACATAAAGGGGCATCACAGGGCTCAGTTTCCTGCCAGAGGTGCATTATGGGAATCACAAAGCAGCTGATCTTCATCGGGTCACAGGATCTCTAACGTCCATCTCTGGCTCAGTTTGTGTTCATCAAAGTTGTTTAGGATCACCTGGTTTCTGTCAAACTGATGACCACCTGGCCAGAAAAGAACATTTTACATTAAAATGAAGTTTAAGTAACAGGAAGTGACTCAATATTACGTGTAAAACTGATGAGCTTCCATTTAATCCATGCTGCATTTACCTCAAACAACCAGCAGACAGAGCTGTTGCTGAAGGACAGAAGCTAAATCACCTGAACTTTGCACACGATTTTACTTTGAAAGGATTTCAGACTGTCAGATGCTAGAGGAGGGATTCAAACATGGCAGAAAATCACATCTAAATATTAAAAGTTTTTACTCTAACGAAAAGGTGGACACTAAAGTTAAGGAATGGGTGTTTTTCTGAGCCGCTTGAATGTCTCTATTTTTTTCAGGAACACACAACTAACCCACCTGCACTTTTTGCAGTCATACTTACCGTAACTACAGTTTGTACCATTAAAACAACTCAAACGGTTTCTGAAAGAAGAGAAGATGCCCTTTTAATGTCATTACGGTAAATCCCTTCCCTGCGGGTGTAGGAAACCACTGAATCAGCCTCTCCGACCTTTCCTCTCACACACAAATGGTGCTGAGTGAGAAAATGAATGACGGAGTTAAAAAATAATGAAGCCATAAAAAATAATGGCTGCAGAGGCACCAGATGGGGAAAAAAAACCTCAAAAACGACCAAATGCACGTTGTCCTAACAATCTCACGGCTGATGCACCGCTGACCCGGCTCAAATGCCGAGCTCAGGCCTCCGTAAAACCTTTACAACCTTGGACATGCGGAGAGTCGACACAACAGATCCCGGGTCAGTCAGAGGCGCTACAAAAATCTGCAGTGTTGGCAACATGCTCTCATCATTTGCAATCGCAATTTCAATCAGAAAGCGATGAATAGCTGAGCCCTGGGAGGACGTTTCAACAAAGATGTGATTAAAGAGAGCTGACTGACCTTTGACCTCCAGGATCAGATCAGGGTTGAGGTGGGAGCGCACCAAACCGTCCTGAGTGATGCTCCACAGCTGGTTGTCTTTGCCTTGTTCGGGAGACACACAAAGCCGGCTTCCTGCCATCACCACGTTGCCCGCCGTCTCCAGGTAGCAGTCCTCCACCACCTGGACAGAAACCACAAGTGGACTTAGACTGGGTCTGTATTTGATGCAGCGCCTTCTAGAGTCCTGGAACCCCCCAAGGCGCTTTGCAACACAGTCAGTCATTCACACACTGGTGGTGATGAGCAACCATGTAGCCACAGCTGCCCTGGGGCGCACTGACAAGAGGCCAGGCTGCCGAGCACAGGCGCCACCGGCCCCTCTGACCACCACCAGCAGGTCCAAGGGCACAACAGCAGCATTCTCTGCTGGGAGCGGGGGTCGTACCTACAACCACCTCTGCCACCCGAGCTGCTGCTGCCCCAAAGCAACGTCTTTATGTTGCGGTCTGTTTCAGGCGTCTGGTACCTTGCATGAGATCCGACCGTTCTGGTAGAGCCAGATCTGCTCTTCTCCTCCCGTCTCCTCCACCACCTGGACTCTCATCAGCTTGATGTCATCCAGCGCTCCCGTCAGAGACATCGCATATCCCGTCTCTTTATTCCGCAGATGGAAGTACGTCGGTTTCTGTTGAAGGGGAACGGTTTGAAATGAAAGTCTGATAACTCTCTTTGTACTGGAGAACACAAACCTAGCAGGTCGTTTCTGATTGGTGCATTTCTGTCCTTTTTACCTGCGCTAACGGACGAAGGGATCCTATTCGCTGAAAGCCGCCGTATTCCCACAAATCTCCTACTTCACCCGGTTGGAGAAGCAGCTGCCGACCTCTGTAGTTGTTATCTTCATACACCACCCACCTGCAGACAGCATCTTCCATTAAAACCTCCAAGTATTGACACATTTCCTTAGTTTATGACTTTTTCCACATCTAACAGATTTGGTTCAAAAATTCAAACACAAAGAGAATTTTATGATTTCCAACATTATTTTATAAAATGCACAAACAGTGTTAAATTTAAAGACGCGCAGCAGCTAATCACAACGTAGCCCAACAGCTGATTTCTGTGTGTTTTTGTGTTTCTAACAGATTTTGTTGTAAAGGCACCTAAAACTAAAAGATGCTTACGTACATTCCTCCCTCCACCACCAGGGAGCGCACGTGAGCATCCATGCCTGTCTGAGGCAGGTTGACGGTCCCTCTGGTCAACACTGTCCTGCGGCCTCTGCAGCCCTGTTTGCTGAACACAGTGATGGAGGGCAGAGAGAACTCCTGGAGAAGAAAGAGATTCATGTGAACGTGCACGGTTTACGAGTGAGCTGCACATGTGACCGCACTCCCGGAGGAAACGCACATGTCCGCTGGGCTGCATGGATCGAATGCTGGAGTCCGATGACGGGAGGCCCATAGCTTCTGCGCTGGGGTACGCTCCTTCCTCCAGAACATACATGTTCTCTGTGAAGTTGTCTCCCTCGAACGCCACCCAGCTGGCACACAAAGACATTAAAGGTGTGGTTCACGCGTGTAATCATCACGTCTGCAGTGGTCTCTAGGAATGAGCGCCTTGTCAGTCGCGCTCGGGTGTGCTCGTTTCAGGAACTAGCAGAGGAGAGCTGCAATAAGGACTCGTTTCCAAGCCTTACCTGCCCGTCAGAACTTTACAGGACTTGGGTGAGAAATCTTCGCCCAGAGCTGGTGAGCTGTCCTCCAGGACCAGCAGCCTTCCCTGAAAGTCAGGTTCAGAGTACAAGTGGACCTGTAACACAAAGAACCTCAGAAACAAACCAAAACTGCACAAAATCTTCTTAAAACAGAACAAAAATCTAAGAATAAGGACATTTTACCTTGAACTTTGTTGCTCCTGTTAGCAGATCCTGCGCGGACAAGAGGAGGGAGTGAACGAACGAAGTAACAATCCAAAAAGTCAAATCCAGAACTGAACTCCTTACGTGAAAGACGGGCTGCAGGGATGAGATCTTTATGTTCTGAGCTCCCCAGTCCTCGGGTTTTGCATACATGCCTTTCTCCAGAACGTAAAGCTCTCCGCTGAACCCAGGCTCTTCAAACGCCACCCAGCTGAAACGTAAACATGTAAAAACTTACGGCGTCGCATTGCGGCGACGACCACCTCCGAACTTGTTCTTTGTTTGAGTTCTAGGAGTGAGATTTGAAGGCTTGGTGAAGGCGAACGCTGGTTTTGGAGACCGTAAACGGACTTTTGAGGAAAGCGATTCAATCTCTGACTTCAGAAGCAAAGCTAACATGATGAACAGGAGGAAGTTATGGCGTTGTAAAAAACACAGGTGAGGCCGGCTCAAAGCAAAGATCCTAACAACTAGGATCAGATCAAATTAAAGTGGCACTGAGCCAAGCTGAAGACAGGAGAAGTGTAATAAAGGGTCTTCTCTGTGGGGAGGGGCTTGAAGCCGAAGCACGGCAGAGAGGGAGGAGGAGCTTAACGACAGCCATGGCTCTTACTGGCGACGCTTCGTCCTTTAAATCCTGGTTTTAGGTCGACTTGTGGGTAATTTAGTTAGAATATTTGCCCTGAAGCAACGAAGAGATGGTGTCAGACATGTTCATCAGTTACAAAATTCCTCGGTGTATTCATTATTCATCCGCTGAGCCGCGCGCGCGTGTGTGTGTGTGTGTGTGTGTGTGTGTAAGGTGAGAAGCACACACCCAGAAGCTTCACGTTTCCCTCCCAGTTAAACAATCCAAACTTCATTTTAGAAACAGGATCGGTGTTACTTACACCCCCCCAGTGACGTTGATGGACTTGGTTCTGGGGCTGTGGCCGATTGCCTCCATGTCGACAACCGGCCCGAGCAGGTCGGCGTTGACCCTCAGCTCATTAAAGTCCAGGTCGCCAAACAGTTTAATGTGGGGGGACTGGAAATCCTGTGGGGAGTTAGAAGTGAGGCACACGCTTCTGATTGCTGGAAATCCCGTTGGAGGTACTTACTCCAACAACGGGTCGTAGCGACTGGAGTCCATCTTCAGAACCTCCCCACTCACTGAAGTGGGGATACTCCCCCTCCTCCAGGACGTACTGCTGCCCTTCAAAGTCTGCCTCCAGGTATCCGGCCCAGCTTCACAAGCAAAAACACACGTCTTTAAGTTTCTACATCCTTACTGAAGCAACGTCCAAAATCAGCTCTTCTACATACTCACAGGCCACCCAGAATCTTTATAGAGCCCACTGCAGAAAGTTTAGTCCTCCTCACGTCCTGCTCTAGCAGGTTGCAGGCATCCCCTTCCAGCTCTAAACACTCTCCTTCAAAGTTGGGCTTCTCAAACACGAGAGCCTGGATAGGAGAACATCAGCGTGTGAGGGAGGTGTCTAAATGCCTTTCGTTCCACGTCCCCGCGTCCCTCTAGGCCGTCTATCATACGAGCGCCTCGACTACGAAGGCAGGCTGCAGGTTGAGAGCTGTCGGCGTACCAGAGCCTCACGATCTTCTCCCGAGGTTGTCTTCTCTTTTCACACAATTCAGTTATTGCAAACATGCAGCAACAGGCTAAACAGGAACAACGTGCATAAAGTAGCTACGAACCTAGTTTGGCACATAATAAAGTCCCTTTTTAATGGAAAGGATGCATTAAAGGATGTGGAAGTCTGGACGGTGCAGCTCTGTCAGCACGCTTTGATAGCGTTTATGAATATTCATGTGAGGGAAAATTCACTGGCTGGTGTTGGACCACGTCCTTGTTCAGCACGCGCTTGAACCAGGAGAAAAATCTGAAGACCTGTCTGCAGGATAACTTTTGCAGTGCCACTGGGAAACATGAACTCTTTCCCAGCTTCAGTCGGAAAGTTCGCTGAGATTCGTGACTTCCTCCCTTTTAAACCACACCGCACCAAAGCATTCCTCTCGTCTCCTCGTGGGCACACATTTTGGGGCTAAACTGCAAAGTTTCACAACTTTTTTAATTCAAGCCGAGCCGTACTCCTAATGAATCACATCAGCAACACATGGCAATGCAGTCATAAACCAACCTTAACGTCAGACAGGTTTTCCACCCTTAAAGCTCCCTGAAAAGGACAGACAAACGGTCAGAACAGTTTCTGATCAAGCACCAGTCACGTGTTTATGCAGAGCGTCGTACCATCCTGAGGGGTCTGAGGGAGCCGACGAAAGGCTCAGGGAACCCCCAGCTCTCCGGACAGGGGTACTCTCCCACCTCCAGAACACCGAGCAGTCCTTCATATCCAGGATCGGAGAACACCAGCCAGCTGACGCAGAGAGCAGATGGTGGCAGAAAGAGTTCATTACAGGAATGAAAACCCGTTGACCACCTACAGCCTGACACTGCACTTCCTTCACACCTCCAGAGGTTGTGCATCTGGGAGATTTTTGCTGAAGGTGGTGCAAAACTTCATTTGTTAGAAAATTGCAGCGCAGAACTCCCAAAGTGCATTAAAGTGAACGCAAAAATCCAGATTAGGTGGGTTACAGCAGGATCATCAGTGAATGAAGCAGGCAAACCTCGTCTCCTACTTCCTGTTTGTGTCGCACACGAGTCTTTCCCGCTTTGGAAGTCTTCTGTGAAAATATTTAGACGCGTCATCACCTGCATCTGAACTTACACTCCAGAGTGAACCTTGATGGAGCCCGTGGTCCGAGGGATCCCGTAGGAGCCCAGCTCTACGGCGTCGTCGCAGTATGATGACATCATCCCCATCCCATTCACCTCAGCGTACAGATCAATTTGAGGTGAACTGTAATCCTGCAGAAAATAATCAGAATCAAAAATAGCCACACTTCCTTATAGCCATGCATTAATTCACTCATTCATTTCGAGGGGGAATCTATTCAATATGTCGGTTTAGAGCAAGAATGCCACTTTTGCGTCTGCAGTCTCGAGGCAGGGCACATGAGAGGTAACACCGTTTTTTAAAGGCACACTTGGCCGTTTTGCCTGCTTTTAGCACCTCCTAGTGTCCATTTTCAAACCTCTGTGGTTGAACCCTCGCTGTGCGTGCCCAGCCTTCGTTAGTGTCTACAGGAGCAGCTCATCACTAAATAAACCAGCTGTGCTCATGCAGGAAACGTGCTGGAAGCAGAGTGCAGTCCCAGGTAAGTCCAACATGTGGCAGCTGGCACTCTGAAGTTGCAAGTGCGATATTCTGGCCACAGAGAGCGGTGAGGTCCGAGTGGCCTTTCATTAACCCTGTAAAGGGTCATTTTGGCACATACTGGCTCAGGAACATGAAGGAAAACTTGGATGGTGTCCCTTTATAGGTTGCTTCTTTATTCCTGACAGAAATTTACTTTCTGAGATCAAAATGCAAAACAAAAAAGGTCAGATGTAAAGCAGGTAAGTGTAACTCACTCTGACTGCTAGTCGGAGTGAACCTATGACCAGCGGCGGCGACGTCAGAACAGGCCGACCCATTTCGTCTAAGGTCTCTGGAGTTCCCTCCTCGGTCCACATGTTCACTATCTGCTCAGTCGGACCTTCTTCCAGGGCGATGGTCCGGCCCTGAAAGCCTGCTTTTTCATACAGAAGCCAGCTGGAATGAAACACATGGTCTTAAAATATCTCATCCTTCTATTAATATGAACCAAAAAGCTGCCACAGGCAATCTGGCACCACGCGTTACACTGGCAACTCCAGGAGCGGCGCCACCTGTGTTGGATTCGGTAAGAAACCCTCACCATCCTCGGATGACTTTGACTGATATTACTGGAGACAGCTTCATTGTGGAGGAATCTTCTACGTCAGAGTAGATCTCGTACGCCTCCCCTCCAAACTGAGCATGCTCGTGTATTACGATCTGCACAAACAGACGAGAAGGACATCAGTGGAAGCAGGAACGTGAATGCAGCCAGACATCGTTCTCTAATCGTACCTTTCCGGGTCTTTTGTGGAACCCTCTTACAGCAGGGGTCTGTGAGACAACAAGGCAGATGCTTCACATCATTTCACGGCTGAAAAGTGTCTTTTGTACCAATTTCAACCATTCAAAGTAAAAAAAAGTAAAACACAAACATCTCAGCTTGTTAAATCTATCAACAACCTGTTTTTATGAGTTTGGATTTGCTTTGATGCGGATGAATTAGGACGTTTGTGCCGAGCTTGTCCCATGCCAGCTCGTGCAAACGTCCAGTTAGCAAACTGACACGCTGCTCTTGGAAAAAACACTTCCTGTCCAAAATTCCCCACAGCGAACAAGTTCACTCGTCTTGTTGTTGCTTGCAAATGATTCATGACTCGCTTACAAAAGTACCAGACACAGAAAAGGCACTGCGTACAAATCAGGACATGTGTCACCATGGAGACGGACTATGCGTTGTTGCAACGCTTCGTAGGACTGAACTCACTGAGGCGCTGAGAACGATGAACGTCAGCAGGAAGTGAAATAAAGAAGGTTTTAGTGAAACTGCAGGCTTACCTTCGGTTTAGCAGTAGAAAGCCCGCTGTGAGTGATCTGCTGACTGTTGCTGGTGCTAGGAGACAACTCTGCAGGCTCCTTCTGCCTCACATCCACAGAAGAGGCTTCTGTTACCAACTTCTGTTCCATAGTAGCAGATTTCAGCTCAGGCGCCTGAAAAGCGTCTTGGGAGGCCTCAGATACTCCGTTTTCCTTCTTGAGGTATTCCTCTGCGTGATCAGTCAGCTTCATGTCTGAGAATGCAGGCAGAGAAGGCGGAGGGGAGGGGCTAACTGCTGACTCGCTTACTGTGTCTGTACCACCTCCCATAATCGAGCCTTGATCAGTGACTTTGACTCCCCCGTTATCAGCCGTGGCTGCTGGCAGAGGCAAGTCACGAACCCCCACCTGCCTGAGAGAGGGAACGTCTTGCTGCTGGCTGGAAGACGCCGTGCTGCTCGAGACAGAGGGAACTTCCTCTTTGCTCTTCCTGGAGGTGCGAGGGGAGCTTAGCAAACTAGAGAGGATGGACATCCTTCCAAGTCTTGACGTCATCTTCCCGGGCTCGTTGTTTTCCCCCTCGACTTGAACGGCTTCACCTCGGGCCTCCTCTTTGACCCCGCCCACCTTAAGCGCTTTAGCTTCATCTGCTGAGGTGTTTTTCTTTTCCAAGCTTCGGCCTTCCCGGTCAGCTGCCTTTTGTTTAATCAGAAGACCCGGAGAAGCATCCAAACGCGTGTCCTTTTTCCTTAAGCCGAATTTAAATTCCTCAGGATCAAACGTCCGTTCGAAATGATCCTCCTTGATGGCGGGCATGGCAAAAGGTGGAGTTGGGGACTTTTTGCGAACATGCTTTTTTGGGGGCAATGAAAAAGGAATTCCACCCGTCTTCACACTCCTTAGAAACTGGTCAATGTCATCCGGCTCTAGGGATTCATCTTCGCTGGCAGGAGATGACGGATCCCTTTTTCTTCTACGCTCCTTTTTCTTTTTCTGGCGGTGTTCTACATCCAGCCAGGTAGACGGAGACTCCGTGTTGGGCTGGAGGCTTTGAAGTAGAGCGGGTTGTTTCTTTGGGCCACAAAGAGACATGCTTTCATTAAACGTTGTCTTTTGTAATCCAGGATGAGTCGCAGTCGTCCCTGTAGCCGCCTCGTCGTTCCTCTGAAAATCAGTGCTCCGGGGAAATCCAACAGAACCAGCTGCGAGCGCTTCTGCTTGGGCTGCTACAACATTCGTGTCTGGTACATCTTGTTTAGCTGCAGTTTCAGGTTGAGCTAATTTGGCATCACCCCTTGACTTCTCTTGAACTGCCGTTGGTTCGTGTTCTAGTTTAGCATCAGGAGCTTTGAAATCAGAAGTTCTCACGAGTGTTTTAATGTCCACAGCATCTCTTTGGACAGCTGAAGACATCTGGCTCTTTGGGTAAATGTGTTCTGCAGCACCATACACCAAACTACCTACTGGAGATGGTTCGCTTTTAGTTTTCTCTTCAGAATCTTTGACGCCGTGACTTTTGGCTTTCCGCTCTTGGATATGTGCCTCTTTTGCACCCTCTGAGGATCCTACTACGACTGTTCCAGATGTTTCTGTCTGGTCTGCATCTGGATAGTTAGGTCCTGCCAGTGCGTCTCGGTCTGGTTTAGTTTTGACCACATGTTGCTCTCCAATGATTTTGGACCTCTGGACCTTCTCTGTAGGTGCTGCTTCACCCACTAAACCTTCTGAAGATGAATCCTTGACTTCAGTCATCTCTTTTGCACCTTCAGTGCGAGCACTTGCAGGGCTTTTAAACACACCCACATGCTGTGTTTCTGTTGTCTTCTTTTTAATTTCAAATCTTATAATTTCTGTCTCTTGATCTGATTTTTGATTTTCATATTCAGATTCTGCTGGTTTTTCTTGGTCTGGTTCCATTATGTCCACATCGGTCTCTCCAGTCACGTTGGACCTCTGAACCTCCTCTTTAGGTGCCGTTCCATCCACGACACCCCCTGAAGATACGTTTTTGACACCAGTCGATACTTTGGGACCTTCAGAATGACCGGGGCTTTGGATTACACCCACATGCCGTGCTTCTGTGGTCTTCTTTTTAATTTCATACCTTATAATCTCCATCTCTTGTTCTAATGTTTGGCTTTCACATTCAGATTCTGCTGGTTTGACTTGGTCTGGTTTAGTCATGTTTACATTTTCATCTACGGAGGTTTTTATATTTGGATCTTGATTACGTCCAGCTCTGAAAGAAGTATTTGTTGTTAACCCACCCTTCGGTACTGAGTGGTCTCTAGCTCCTTCAGCACTCGGACCTGCAGAGATTGTGATTAGTTGCTCTGTAATTTGACCTAATCTAGTCATTTCTGGGGTTTTGATTTCCATGGTTTCTGTTTCGGACTCTGCTGGCGTGTCCTGGTCTGTTTTTATTGTGTTCCTTTCATGGTCTCCATGACCAACGAGCTGAACTTTACTAGCTGACTGCTGCACCAGACTGTCCGTTGGTGTCTTCTTTGTTTCCTGGTTGTCTTTGGTTTCTTCGGCGCTCTGAGCCGTGACGGTGGTAACGGTTTTCTCTTGGGCATGATTTCCAGTTTTCTCCTCTTTAGTTTCTGCTGCTGAAGGATCCAGTCGGAGTGTTTGGTCGACATTAGAACGTGTAGATTGTTCTGTTGGTTTTGGTTTCTCTGCATCGTGACGTCTGCCGGTTACAGAAACAAGGTCATGTCCATTGGTGGCCTCACTAATGGGATCTATAGCTGCGGTCTTGTGAACTAAACTCTCTTCAGGTGATTCTTGGACTTTGGTTCCTTTGTTATCTGAACACACAGATGCGGGAACTTGGGAATCCACTGTTGTCTCCTGTTGAACTTCAGCACCAAATGTCTGAGGTTCTTGTTCCAGTTTGCACCTGGCCAGTTCAGACTGTGCTAACTTTGGTGGCACCGTGTCTGCATCTGGTTCTTGAACAGATGAGGGCTTCTGGACCTGTTGGTCAGTACTAGCATCAACCGGAGCCGCTGTCGTGATCACCAAACCGTCTACAGATAAATCCTTGACTTTGGTTTCTTTGCTGGATGAAGGCACAGACGAAGGAACTTGGCCATCCACGGCCTTTTCCAGTTGAAGTTCAGCACCAACAGCCTGCGGCTCTTGCTCTGATTTATGACGTAGTAGCTCAGCTTTTGACTGGTCCATGGTTGGTTTCACTGGGTCTGCATCTCGTTCTTTAACAGATGTAGCTTTCTGGACCTGTTGGTCGGTGACTGAAGAGGCTGTCTCATTTGCCACCCTCTCTTCAGATAAATCCGTGACTTTGGTTCCTTCGTCATGAGAGCGTAGAGATGCAGGAACTGTGGAACCTGCTGCTGTCCGTTGTCTAACGTTAGCACCAAACTTTTGTTCTGATTTATGATCCAGAAGTCCAGCTTTTAACTGGCCCTTCTTTGGTTCCACATAGTCTGCCTCTTGTTCTGTTAGAGATGAGGTCTTCTGGACCTGCTGGTCACCGACTGTACTAACACCAACGGGAGCTGCTGTCTCGTGCACCAAACTCTGGTCAGATAAAGGTTTGACTTTGCTCTTCGCGTTGGTTGCTTTGTTGTCTGAAGGTGCAGCGTTAGAAACCTGAGAATCCACGGTTGTCTCCTGTTGAGCTTCAACACCAACGGTCTGTGGTTCTGGTTCCAGTTTATGACATTGAAGTTCAGTTTTTCCCCATTTGTCCATCTTTGGTTCCGCCGTGCCTACATCCTGTTCTTGAGCAGATGCGGGCTTCTGGACCTGCTGGGCTCTAACTGTACCAGTATCAGCTGGAGGTGCTGTCTTCTGCACCAAACTCTCTACAGGTGAATCAGCTCTTCCTTTAGGACCTTCACTGTGGGTGCTCACCTGGTTCTCTGGTGCCAGAGTGTCTTCAGACCTTTGGTCTGAGGAGATTTTCCTTTCATTAGTAACATCTGCAGTTCTTGGCTCTTCCACCCAAACGTCCACCGAGTTGTCTTTGGCTCCTTCAGCACTTTGATCCTTGATGGCTGGAACCTTTATCCTTTGAATTGGACTCTCCTCGTCCTTCTCTTGAGCTTCTGTTCTTAACTTTTGGTTTATTGTAGATTTGGCGTGATCGGCTCTTGTCCCATCATGCTCATCAACACGTATGTTCATCTGAACTTGCAGCTTACCGTCATCGCTGACAGCAGTTAAAGCTTCAGACACCAAACCCTCTGAAGACTTCACAGCATCGGTTGCTTTTTTATCTCCGTACTCATCCGAGCTCACACTGTTAAATCTGGGAGCTGTGACCATCTCCTGAGGTCCTGCTGTCCCTTCTTCTTCAGTTTTTAAAACCTCTGATTTCTGATCTGATTCACGGTTCACGCCCACAGCTTGATTTATTCTGTCCCCACCTGGGTGTGCATCAATCATGGACCTCTGGTCTACCTGGATCCCAGTCTGGGGCTCTGTCTTGGTCTCCAAACCTTTCATCCGTAAAGCATCTTTAACTCCTGCAGCGGTCTGCACCTCGGTCCTGAAGGACTTCAGATCTAGAGTTGAGTTTAGGTTCTCTTCTTGGTTGACACTCGGACATTTATACTCTGTTGATGCATCAGTTATCTTCTCTCTGTTTTTAACGACCTCTTCAAATCCAGCCTCTCCTGTAATTGGTCTTTGTGTGCCTCCATCTTTGTAGTCCAGACTCCGTCCCGTATCACTGACACCTTCGCTCCTGGTTTTAAGCCCAGCTTTTCCTAACGGCGCCTTCCTTTGCTGCTCCCATGCTGCAGTCTTCTTACCACCTGTCTCTGCAGGTTCTTGTAAAACACGCCGCCTTGCATCAGCCAGACTGGCTGCAGCTGGTTCGGCATCCGTCCTCCTTCCTTCAGAGCTCTTTGTGGCCACCATCTGCGGTTCCTCTTTAGCTTCAGGCTGGAAGCGCTTCTCCTGCGGTGACAGACCAGTTGGTTTGCTTGACTTTGTAGATCTTCCTGCTGCTGCTTCACCCTCCATCGTTTTTCCTTTGAGCTTCTCCGTGTAACTGATGTGTGACTCAGTGTTTTCTACTGCTGCTTCATTAAGCGACTCATCTGCTTTTGAGTCACTCTTCCTACGTACAGCTTCCTTTAAAAGAGCCTCTTTGTCCAACTGATTTTCTACATTCTTGGGTAATTCACAAACAGCCACGGTCTCTGTTTGAACGTCCACAGCCTCCGCTGGCTTCCAGCCGACGTCCTCACTACTTTTCTTTTCCGTGTCAGACGGTTTAGCTGCAGCCAGCAGCAACGCGTGGGACTCGTTTTCATGGCTGGTTGGATCCTCGGCTCCTGCTTGGGCTCGTTTAGCAACACTCGAGCTCTCTGAGACAGAAGGGACCTGTTTTGCTTGATGACACTCGTCTTCAGATGGAGCAGGGAGGTCTTTTCTTCTTTCCTCAGCTAGTGAAACCCATTGCTGACCAGAGTGGGTTGTTGTGTCAGAGGGAAAGTTGTGATCCAGCTCAGGTGTGGCTGAAGGATCAGAAACATCCCCGTGAGCTACGTCCAAGGCGGGAGCTGCAGTGTTCTCCTCCTGCTGGATGAATTTGATGTTTGTGTCCCTTGTTAGCTTCTTGAATGTCTCTTTGTCTCTGAGCGTGGGGGAAGTCGTTGAGGTTGGTGTTTCCTGTTTCTGTGTTTTCTCTCTCTGAATGCGAGACTCCGCTGTGGTTTGTTTGGCGCCTGGCTCTTCTCCGTCGGTCCCAGCGTTATTTACAGCAGTAATCTGTGACTGGGATGACGTTTCTCGGTCCTCATCACCGATCTGCAGCTCAGCCTCTGCAGTTGCTGAAGCTTTGACCTGAGCAGCATCTCTAATAGTTGTGAGACTTTTTTGAAGGGGAACCTCTCCAGCTGCGGCGCTTCGTGTGCCTTTGGCCTCTTTTTCTTTCACTTTGGCCTCACCAGACTGTTTATCTGTAACTTTACCCTGCTCCTCTGCAGACCTGACCCGGAACCTGCTGTCGCTGTCCTTCTTCCTGTTCGCCGCGACAGCAGCTTTAGCTCTGGCGGCGCTCTCAGGAAACGTGCCGTGATTTAAATCCTCAGATTTGGCCGACTCTTGAGGAGCACCAGGCTTTAGTTTGGTGACGTTCCTCTGGCCTCTTGCGGGGAGCTTGCTCCCAGATGACGGGGTCTCGGCCGATTCCTTTACGGGCCATCTGTGGTGGGCTTTTACTCCATCGCTCATCTTGGAGAGCCTCGCAAAGACCGGCTTCTCCTGCTTGGTGGGCGATGAGGAGAAAAAAGAGATCTGGGTATCGCTCTCTTCGTGGCTAACGCTTCTCCTTGGCAGGTATTTAGATAGTTTCACTGACGCCATGCTTCCAGTTCCTGGAAAACACAAACGGCTCAAATTCAGCACAGCTGGAAAAATCCATAATGCATAAACTAAATATTAGTCAGCAATAAGCGTAGAGATAAGCGGTTGCTATGGTAACCCTGTAAGGCTGACAATGTAAACCTCTCTCTTACCTTTCTTGGGACTCTCTGGAGCTGCAGCTCGAGTCTCGTCATCAGGAGTCGCTTCCTGCTGCTCTGGACCGTGGTTCTGTGCTTCGGCCTTGTTCGGGTCCGTCTGGCTAGCCAACACGCTTTTAGAGTTGGCACTGCCGGTCTGAGTTGCATCATCGCTCTTTTTTTTGGGTGCAAATGAGACGGGTAACCGACTCTTGGATGCTAAGACAGCGTTGCTCTCCAGGTGGTTCGGCTGCTGTTGTTTGACATCGGAGCTTTCCCTGTCAGGCAGATGCCCCGCCTTAACGCCTTTCTGCTCATGCTCCCTCTCCAAGCCATTCACTAGGCTCGCAGACTTAATGCTGTCGTCTGACTTTTCCCTAAGGAGCTTTATTCCCGTCCTGTAAACGGTTTTTGTCGGAGAAGTGACCCCTGGACTGGAAATCCCACCTTTAGCTTCCTCAAAACTTGGTTTCCTGAGAGGTTTGGCGGGAGGTTTCACAGATTCTTTGGATCTGGGTAGTTTTTGCACTTTGGAAGCGCCTGCTGACCCTGGAACATCAGGAAGTAGAATTTTATCTGGCGTTACTGGAGATTTCACATCACTATCTGATCTTTTGGGGATTTTGGATTTTGAGCTTGTTGCACTGCTGCTACCCTGATCCTTTGCGCCTGGAGACAGAGGAACTAATTTCTCACTGCTGTGCTCCCGCTGCAGTAGGAAATCTCGGGATGCTTCCGCTTTTCTGCCCTCCGTAAAGATCTTTGCCTTCCTTAACACATTCCTGGTGCTACTTCCAGCAGCAGAGGATGCGGTCTTTGTTCCAGTAGCTGTGGTATGTGGACTCTCTGCTGCTCCTTTAAACCCCCGCTTAGAAGAAACTTGACTTTTTACCCCAAACACCGTCGTTTGTAGCTTTGCTCTGTTCATGTCTGAAGGTGCAGCGGGATCCCCAAAGTCTGAGGCCTCGGAGTCCGTTTTTTCTTTGGCTGTGGGTTCGGGAGTGTTGGTTTCAAACGTCGAGGTCACATCTGTTGTTGTGGAAAGTTCAAGACTGACGTCTTTGATATCTACATCGTTGTCGTCTGCGGGGCTGGCGGGTCTGTCAGTAACAAAAACACATGAAGGAAAGCACAAAGTTGAGGGAAGGATTGAGAAAAATCAAACAGTAACCATCCCAGCATTCCCACACCTCAAAGCACCTCCGGAGCTCTTTGGTTCGATTGTTTAAAAGTCGCTGCAGCCGGGGGCCAGGAGAGCTCATAAAGACAAGAGACGGGAAAACGTCCATCTGGTTTGGTCTAAACTATTCCCTCCCGCTGCTGATGGGCTGCAACAAATAAAGAAGGAGTTCATCTGCAAAAACAACTTCACCTGAAGTGAATAATAAAGTGATGCATTATGTGGAAATTTATACAATCTGAGTAATTTGTTTTTGCACATGAACTCATCCGGGCACGCCCGACCGGGCGAAGACCTAAAGGGAGACCCAGGACACGCTGGAGGGACTATTGGGCCATTCCCATCAGTACCTGGTCGGCCCGGCCCGGATAGCATCGCTTGCTAACATATCTTGGTGGCCTGCCTTTTTTCAGGGTGCAACCAGACTGTTTTTCAGCCCTCTTTCTGAGGGGGTCTGCTTCAGGCCGACCAGGGCCAACACGCCCACTGCTGACAGCAAATTCACACCTTCCATTAGAGCAAGCCTCTGATTGGTGGGTAGAATCAGCCCACATGGGCTTAAGGCATGCTCAATTCATTATCGTGCTGATTACCTAGAAGCTGAAAATGTCTCTGACTGCATTCCTTGCATACCCAAGCAAGGATGTGTGGAATCAACCGGGCCAGGCTGGGGCCGACCGGAGCTACCCGGGCAGGGCCGACCCGGTACAGATGGGAAAGGCCCTTATGTCTCTCGGATGTCCACGGAATGCCGTGGGATTCCCCCGGAGGAGCTGGCCCAAGAGGCTGGGGAGAGGGAAGTCTGGGCCTCCCGCGCTTAGGCTGCTGCCCCCGCCACCCAAACTCGGATGAGTGAGTGAGTGAGTGGATGGATGAACTCTTCACATACAAATATGAAGAGCTTGTTAGAAGAGGCATGTAGAGTTGCTTCCTCTTTCTATTTTTATGCTAAAGCTAAGCTAACAGGATTAGCATGTTTTTCCCAACCAGCCAAGAGCTGCACGAATCTTTTCATCATTATTTAGTGAACGTTGGTTTGTCTCTGCCTTTCACCCGGTGACGGCTGCAGATGCACACCAGGACCCGGCGGACAGGAACAGGCGGTTCAGAACAGATGAGTGAACAAATGCGGCGTCTGTTTAATGTTAGTCTGTATTTAATAAAAACTTGCCTTTGGTTGAATCTTAATGATTTTTTAAGTACAGCTCTAAAGATGGTTGTTCAAACGAGCTGCAAATTTACCAAATAACAAAGCTTAGAGTATTATTTCTGAGTGAAAACTCTGTTGGTGCCGTAGAAAGTCTCTGATTACGAGGGCCAACATCTGGATCCCTCCTCAGCTCTGACCTGGTGTTGTTTGGGGTTGATTACGAGTTTTTTTAGTTTATTATTTAGAAATTTTTAATTTAGGAAGTGAAAACATCCACATGGAGGATCTGTTGCTTCTAGTGCAAATGATAAAGAACAGGAAATGTGTCCGATTTTTCATTCCTGCTCAGCAATTGTGTTTTAATACCCCAAAATGATTTTAAAAAATCAGATTTTTTGAGTTTAAAATGACTGGTTAGGCCGCTCGCTTTGGTTGACTTTGATAAGCTGCCAAGTTTGGCTGCATCTCCAACTAAAGGATGGAGTGACCCATCGGGTCAATCTGCACATGAAGGTCGGTTTCCAGACTCCCCGGAACAAAAAGCTCTAAACATTCAGAATTTGATGTTTTCCCCGGATCTTGTTCAGCCTTCAGCCACCGGTGCTCCAACGACCGGCTCTGTACACGATGCTCGGGTAATATTGGTTTGTATTCTTTAATGTGACGCTGTCACACAGCAGTATTCCTTTTAATGGTCTGACTCGATGAATGTTGGTGAAAACTGTCCCCGATTGATGTCGTGAATATTTCAGTACCTCCCAGAAGCTCATTGTTCCTCTCTGGTTCAAAGAAACATGGGAACTGTGGGATCGGGTTGCATTCAGGCGTCGGCCTCATCAGCCGCCCTGTTTTCTGGCCCTCCCAGCATCAAAGAGACGTTTAAACCTCAGAAAATAAAAACCAGAGAGGGAGTTACTCACGCTTTCAGCCCTGCTGCAGTCGAGGTCAGCGCTCCGCGGCATTCCTCGCCTCCGTCCAAACTCCGCTCCGGGTTAATAAACACCTTCTGGGCAAAAACTTTGTTCTTCGGAGGTGAAGTCACAGTCCTGCGTGTCGCGACTTTTTCACTCAGTGTGCCCGTCTCCTGAATCGAACCTGGCTGTGAGACTGTGCCGGCATCTGGCTCTTTCGGCTGTAGCGTGGTTGTGTGAAATTCCTCGGAAGTGTCTGCCAAAGCTGGCTCTGGCACGCTGCCAGCAGATAGGAAGCTGTCCGATGGGGCCGAGGGGCCTTGGTCAGGCGTTACCGGATCATCCTCAGGTATTACAGTGACAGGTATGGCCAGCACAGGGGGAGAGTCTGCTCTTGAGCCATCCTCCTTTTGTTTCACCCGATCCGTCCCACCCTCCCCTTCCTGGTCCTCTCCCAGGTATGTTTCCACCCAGATGGCTCTGTGGATCTGGACAGGAGAATCCCCTCTGGGAGTCTGCTCTCTCGGTGGTGACGGACTGGTCTGCGCAGACAGGCTGCTGGGAGAAACTCCTGGACTCGCTGCACCTGGAGGGTGTATTCCTTGCTGAGCTGGGATGCTGTGTGACACGGAAGACTGGGATGATAAAGTTATTCCCTTTAATTCAGTGCTGTGGCCTTTCTCTCCAACCTGCACCACCGTTTTCTTTGATGCTAACCGAATACACGTTAAGTTGGAAGACTTTGGAGTGTCTGCGGTTTTGGGAAAGGGGGAGTTAAGAGCCATCGGGGTTGTCGGGGTAACAAGGATTTCCTCACTGGAAGTCGGGATGTTCTCATCCAGCTGAACCTGCAGCCTCTTGCTTACTTCCTCCACGACTGATTTTGTAAAGTCTAAATCGGAGTTATTTGGTTGAGCAGCAGGCGCCAGCTCCGCATTAGGGGGGGATGCGTTCCCAGCATCCTTTTCGCGTTCAGCCGTGCGGACTCTGCACACTTCCCTCACGCTGCTCCTGCCACTGCTGTTGCTGTCTGCAAACGGGAAATCGGGATCACCCGTTGTTAGGGAGATGGCGCTGGAGGAGCCGGGGCTGGAGCTCTGACTGAGAGAGTCGCCACGCTCGTCCCGGGATTCTGCAGAACGTTCCCCCGTCAGCTCCCCTTTTCCTTTAAGGGAATGAACGAACGCACTGATCCCATCCTTCTGCTGGGATTGGGAGAAACGGGGGGAAAGGGGAGATGCAGGCGAGCTTATGCTCTCGGAGGCTTGCGAGTCGCGCTTTCGGTCGCTCTTTTTTTTATGGAAGAAGCTGCTGATGCGCTCCAGCATTCCCCGTTTTTCTTCTGGATTCTGAAAGAGGAAGAACAAGGTGTAGAAATACAGATGATTAACGAAGCTGGACTGGATTGGTTTTGCTTTTGTCTGCGGCGTGGATCACATGCAGATAAAGCTACACGATAAATGGATGGAACCCAGTTTTCTTTAAATATAGTCTCCATCTGTGAACATGTCTAGAAACTACGATGCATAAAAATGATTTATTTCACCTTTATACGGGTAATAATGTGATCTATACCCCAGAAACATGCATGATTATACTTCAGCCCGTTTATATGGCAGGACTGAACCGAGGAATCCTGCTGCTCACTCAGAACATCGAGCTGAACGACTAAAACTCAGATATTAAACTTATTTAAAGTGCAGCTTAAGGGTTTAATTAAACTGCAGTTTAAAAGCAGCAGAACAGCATGACAATCCTTTTGCATCACACTTAAAACCAACTGAGCCAAAGAACACAACCACCTCGCTGCCATCGTGATAAAAATCAGCCTTTAGTGATGCGGACGCGTTCCAACAACACTCCACACACGGAGAGCAACAGGAACAGCGATCGTTTCCCTGCTGAATTACTGTTTTATTCTAAAATCATAAAAATGAGCTAACATTTACTCTTTTCTGTCATAAACCAGCTTTGATTTTTGACCTAGAACTGGTGAAATCCACAATCCTGCAGAGAAAGGGGAGTGTCTGTCCCCGTGGAGGGCGGCCACACCCGTCCTCTCTCAGCGGGTCATCAGTTATCTGCTGAAGGACAAATCAGTGGTGCCATTAAACTTATCGTCCAGAGCCGATCCACGGAGAGAAATGGGTCAAAGGTGCGCCAAAGCGAAGCAGAAAGAGGAAATAAAGCATTCAGTCCGTTTTAAGTGTAATTACGAGAAACACGCCCGGTTTATCCAAAAGCGTTCCACTAAAGGGTCAACACATGTTTGGATCAGCACCGAGCAACCAGAACTTTTAGGGTTTGCAGGAAAACTGAAGAGTTTAGAATAATTTTAGCTTTAAGAAGAGGAAGAAGCGTTGATTACCTCCAGATCGATCCCAACGGTTCACAGAAAACCTCTGAATGGAGAATCCTTCAGGGTTTGAGTCTCTGTAGGTGCAGCCCTGCTCACCTTTTATTTACTCCCAGCTGTGACCGGGGTCGGGTAGGTGGAGATATTGCGCCACACGTCTGCCTAACGCTCCACTTCCTTATCCCGTTTCAAAGAAAATTCCCACTCTGATCCGATTCCCATGAAGCTGCATCCTCAAGTCAATAAGCAGGAGTTCCATTCCTTCTTTTGTGTGTTTTACCTTCTTTTATTTCATTCTGTTATAAAAGTGAAACTTTGCCAACATCACGTTGGTCTGTCCCAACACTCGTGTGGACACAGACAACACAGAGGACTGGTCTGACTGGTTTGAGTTTATGGAGCTCGCCTCAGACCGTCAGATCCATATTTGTGACTCTTTTATTAGATTTAGTCACTTAAGTTTGATTTATTTTAATAACTGAACTCAAACAAAAGGAGAACATGATATTATTGTTCTTTTGTTAATTCTGTTTGCTGTTTTCTGTTGTTGTTGTTGCTCCCTCACACCTGGTTTCAGTTTACTGGCTCACCACACCTACCTGTGGTAATCATTCGTGTGTTAACCAACAAATATAGCAACTCTTTGTTCTGAGCTTTGTTTATCTCACGCTCTGCCTTTCCACGTGTTTCTTTACTCGTTTGCATTCGCAGCAGTTTTTGTTTCATTTAGAAAAAGTCATTTAATCACAGGTCGTGTCACTATCTGACCCACCTGCCATCGATTCACGAGGAAACACCTGCAAAGGTGCAAAAGAGGGTCAAAGCAGACAACGCATGACTCAGAACTCCATGTTCCTACAGATGAAACCGTACGGGTGTAACTTGATATTAAAAACGCTCTGAAAGGGCATCGGGCGGGTTAGTTAGAGGGTTCTGGCTCGATACATGACCACAGCAGGTGCATCCTCGGATTTGACTCGTTTCCAGAGCCAAACAGCATCCGTGTCTGATAACACACACGAGCTAATGATAGCATTAGCATAGCTCAGATTAAAATGTATTTCTGTATCTTAACTTTCACGCTAGTTCTTGTAAATGTTCCTTTAAATCCTTTTCACAGCCGTCAGCTTTGCATCACTCCGTCACTCTGGTAGAAAAAAGGTTTGTCTAGATCAGAGGTCTGCAGCAAGTGACTCTGGAGCCAGAATGGCTCTTTCTTTCTTTCTTTCCTTCCTTCCTTCCTTCCTTCCATCCTTCCATCCATCCATCCATCCATCCGGGGTCTGCAGCAAGTGACTCTGGAGCCAGAATGGCTCCTTCCTTCCTTCCTTCCTTCCTTCCTTCCTTCCTTCCTTCCTTCCTTCCTTCCGTCCGTCCGTCCGTCCGTCCGTCCGTCCGTCCGTCCGTCCGTCCGGGGTCTGCAGCAAGTGACTCTGGAGCCAGAATGGCTCTTTACATCCATCCATCCATCCATCCATCCATCCATCCATCTTCCACTTATCCGGAGTCGGCGCTCCAGAGGAATCCCAAGGCGTTCCCTGGCCAGGTGAGAGACACAGTCCCTCCACCGTGTCCTGGGTCTACCTTTAGGTCTCCTCCCAGTTGGACGTGCCCGGAAATCTCACCAGGGAAGCGTCCAGGAGGCATCCTGACCAGATGCCCGAGCCACCTCAACTGGCTCCTCTTGATGAGGAGGAGCAGCGGGTCTACTCTGAGCTCCTCCTGGATGACCGAGCTTCTCACCCGATCTCTAAGGGAGAGCCCAGCCACTCTGAGGAGAAAACTCATTTCAGCCGCTTGTATCCGTGATCTCGTTCTTTCGGTCACTACCCAAAGCTCGTGACCATAGGTGAGGGTAGGAATGTAGATCGACCAGTAAATCTTGATAATTTGGCTAAAATTATCAAATCAAATAAAAAATACAGACTTGTGCTTTATAATTTAAATGTTATGAAAATACAGCTTTTGGATATTTTTATAATTGCACTGAATATTTATGGTTATTATTTTTTTTTTGCAAAAATATTTACTTTTCTTATTTTTAAAACCAAATAACAGAAACCAAATAATAACAAATGTCTTAAATGTGTTACTCACAAAGCGGGAAAAAACATGTCTGACTTTTTATTCTCTGAATCACGAGAAGAAAGCCGTTTTCCCAGTGGCCGTGATCCTCTTCCACAGACATGCATTAAAATATAAACGGTATCTTTTAAAAAGGCTCATGCACACAAACGTTTTATTTTGGTGAGAAAAGCCGCTATGAACTTACCCCTCCTTTCCACCGGAGCCGTCAGCAGCGCGAGTCGGTCGCGTCTCAGGAGCAGCATGTCGCGGCCTTTACGCGCCGGTTCTATTTTCTACGCGTGACGCCTCTGAAACGGGTCAAGTTCGACATTTTTGGGGAAGGAAAGACAGGAAATCGACGCGGAAATGGAGAGAAGCTCCCGAGATTTTCAGAATAAAGAAACGTACTGCCTTCCGGTTGCTTTACTTTAAAAACAGTTACTAACTGTGCGTCCCCGTGAGAAGTTATCAGCTAGCTAGCGGTCTCCTTTGTTTTTCAGGTCCGTATTGGCGATTATAAAATGGACAGAACATAAAACACAAACCATGTTGTAGTTTTCTCCTGCTTGTTGTTGTGTTTACTGACGAAGTCACTCGTGTGACTTCGTGCTCGGTCGGTGACAGCTGCTCTCCTGCTGCTTCGCGTCTCGTGGGAAGGGCCAAGCAGCAGCTTACGCGAGCAAGACGTGCTGCTGCAGCAACGTGCTGCTGACGGCTCCCGTGGAAAGGAGGGGTTAGGCTTAGGCTCGACTCAAACTAGCAGTTAGCTCATCAACCTTGAACAACATAAACACAGTTTCTCCAAACTGAGGCCCTTCAGGAAGCTATCTACAGGTTATTCTGTGTTTATTTATGGAGAAGACTTCAAAATGCCCCCAAACATTCCTTTTACTGAGGAGGCGGCTTCATTCTGACCACCATAACGCCGTTTAATCAGCAGTTTTCAGTTGGAAACAAATCAGCCGGTTGATTTAGGAGAACAAGCCGCTTTCAAGCTATCCGATCCAGCTGCTTTCATTATACTTCTGCCACAATATTTTATCACTTCCCCTTCCTAACGACAAAAGCCCATTCTCAGTTTCGCCATGGTGATTCTGATCAGATGCGTGTGGTTTGTGAGCCCGTCTTTTAGAAAAAGTGCAGCTAAGCAGGTTTTCTTCCGTTTATGAGCCTCTGTGGTGCTGGGGGCGTGGGCTTTGCAGCTGAATCCTAACAGGAATCGAGCTTTTCCTACAAAAGGAAATCACGTTAAAACTCTGGTTCTATTATCAGTAAAAAACACGTGTCAGTTTAATTGTTGTTGCACAAAAAGCTCTGTCCAATGAGAGGAAAAAACCGTGAGAACTTTGTTGAAAGGGGTTTCTAAAGTTAAAGAGACTCAAATATTTCAGCAAAAATGTTATTTTATAAAAGTATCTTTAGACAATCTCTGCAGCAGGCCGCTTAGATCGGAGGACATGCATGAAAAAAATAAAGCAGCATTTAAATTTTAAGGCTCAGAGAGAATTGGTGGCCGCCACTTGGTTGCTGCAACACCTGCTTAGGCAGAACAATCTTAAATCTGAGACATCGGAGGTAAAAATGCACAAAGAGACCCACCTTGGGTGATTTGGAGGGAGACATGGGGCTGTCCGGCTGAGACATGTCAAAGCTGATCATGGAGGAGTACTCAGAGTGAGGGTCCCACTCCGACTCTGGATGGAAACTGCACTCTGTGTAAACGCTCATCTGGTCGAAGCTCCTGGTGGAGGGAGGCAGGAAACGGGGAGAGGGGGAGGAACAGAGGATGTTATGTCACGGGCTTTTGCTTCCCCCCTCATTGTAAAGAGCTGTTTACTCTGGGATTGTACCCTAACTCAGAAAAACCCTTAAACGTGAGAAACAACAAGCTGTAAATCCGCCTCGGCGTGCAGCATGCTCTCCGGCGTGGACAGCTCCAGTGCCACTGGTGCCGAGGTGAAGACACACCGAACGGGTCCAACATGAGGCACCGGCTGGACTCGGAGCAACCAGAGAGCTGCGGAGGATTGTGGCACGCGTGTGAGGCCTTACTTCTGCTTTAGGGAGTGGTGTTTCTGCAGCTGAGCTTTACAGACGGATCACCAGTCGTTCCTGTTTGGTTTAACCGTTCAGAGGCTCACTCTGCACGCTTTAGCTCACGCCTGCGATGCAACAGTAGAGACTCACTCATTCACAAACATGCATTATATCCGGACACACGACACAAGGAAGGCATGTCGGCTGGGGCCACCGTTGGTTATGACGTGCAGCTCTGCAGTTTCTCCACAGGGTGGCAGAACATGACTGGTTTTTAGAATGAGGAATGTCAGGAAGCCCAAACAGTAATCCTGGGAATTGTTACGTCTTTTAAAAAAATGCAAATAAAACTACAAACTAATACGGAGACCAACAACAGGCCTCGTGACAGATTCAGCTAAATGAAAACGAAGGCTTTGCAGATGTTTGACCGCTTTTTTTGTTCTAGTCACACCATCTGATCTTAAACTTACATCTGCTAAAAAAAGACTTCCAGGATCGGATTTACACACATTTGAATGCTTCAGCTTTTTAAATATAATTTAAATGTTCCTTTAGGCTCGTTTCGAGAAGCAAAATAAAAATAATTCCTTTGTTCCTATTTCATGGTTTGACTTTCTCTCTTATTTTGAAAAGCTACTTCCTTTAGATGTTAGGATTTAGGTCTAGTTTATTTCTTTATTTATGATTTAGTCTTTCAGTGTCGTAATCCACGAGGGAAAGGTGAGAAACACACAACAAGGAGGGAATTAACGTATTTACCCTTTATACTGAACTCAGTTTCAATACTTCCTTAAATGCATCCTAACTCCTGGTGAATCTGACTCCGCTCACTTCCAGCTGCATTTTTTCAGATAAAACAACAAACGAGGTGTGCGGAGGTCGGCTTGCAGGTCGGAGGCAGAGAGATGAAGCACGGGTCGGGCTCGGAGGAGGAAAATACAGAAAGGAGAGGAATTCTGTCAACATTTCTGCTTTTATAGTTCAGGCTGCACAGTGGCACAGTGGTTAGCGCTGCCTAGCAGCAAGAAGGTCCTGAGTTCACATCCCGGCCTGGGGTCTCTCTGCATGGAGTTTGCATGTTCTCCCGGTGCATGCGTGGGTTCCTTCCAGGTGCTCCGGCTTCCTCACACAGTCCAAAAACTTGTCCTCAGGTGTGCTTGGTTGTTTGTCCTGCGTCTCTGTTGCCCTGCCCTGTCCAGGGTGTCCCCCACCTGTTTGCCCAGAGACTGCTGGAAACGGCTACCTGCCCCCCACGACCCTGCGTGCATAAGCGGGTAAAGACGATGGATGGATGGATGGATCAGCATGCATACGTTTAAAACTAAAGTCTACACGAGCCCCTCTTTCCTTGTGATTTCACTGAAACTAAGCAGATGTGATGCTCACTCAGGCAGTCAGAGAAACAGCATCCTGTTCTTATCTCCAAACATCAAACCAAACATGTCTGTTTTGGGATTGTTTTCCTTTTCCTACAATGACTCATTGTCTTCTAGAAAAGAGCGAGCGCCAGCTCGTTTCCACGCAGCCATAAGGGACTGAAGGTTGCGCCACCGTGGGACGGTGCCGACGCACGGCTGTC